GCTGTACAGTAGGATAGGCACTACATTTTTGAATTTCAGAAAATTTAAAAATAATAACTCCATCCTCGTTTCTATCTATATCTATATATGCTATTAGAAAGAAGGTATGGAGTTATTATTTTTAAATTTTCTGAAATTCAAAAATGTAGTGCCTATCCTACTGTACAGCAGGTTCCACTAACATTTCCATGTGCATTTCAGCTTTTATTATTAAACTCATCTTACACCTGACTTCCATCTTTAAAGATGTCAGCCAGTGGTGTATTTGCACTATAGATTATTCTAGTATTTCAAACCATACTCACTGGCAGTCCACTAGCACTAGCCATTTTTCAAACTTTGACACCCCAAATTACCCCTGAATCCACTGATTATTACTGTATTACCCTAAGTTTAGAAGTCTGAAGTTACAACCTATATAAACTTACACTTAACACTGATTTCAGGTTGAACTATTAGATTACTACAGCTATATCCAATTCTCAGCTTAGGCTCAAACAAGTCATAACACATAAGGGGTGTTAATCAAATGGCATGAGTTGGTCATATTGGGAACCAATCCTGACCAACTCAAAAACCAACTGATCAACAGGGAGTTGATAATGCAAGCTAAGGAATGAGGCAGTATCAATCAGGTCTTAGCACAGACAAGAGAAACATGCAAGTAATTACACTGACATGAGCAAACTCATGCTTCTCTAGTTTTCAGATAATTTTAGTTAACGACATTTATTTAATCGACTATACGAGCTCTAACAGATAACAAACAATCGATAAACAAGATAGACAAAATAGGTTACCAAATGGGACTTTAGACATAACAGGGAAACTATATGAACTAGCTATTCGACGACTCTAAACGGGTTGAACACATAACTCACAATAGGTACAATTAACAAACAAATAGAAGAATCGACCAAATAAAGGGTCTTATGAAGACAGACAGAATTAATTGATTAAAAAAAAGAATAGAAAACTCACATAAACTAAACTAAACATGTAAAGAGATACGAATAGAATCACTAACAGAACAAAAGGAAAGGAAAAATTACCTCGGAAGCTTATAAACAAGGATGACCCAGGCTCGAACTGGACTTCACTTCTTTGAGGTTGAACGGACTTCAATCGAAGTGTTCTCAACTGAGAACACCTCGATTTAGGTATATTAGACCCCCAACTCCTCTTTTAATTGGACAGACCCCCATGGTTTTGAGTTTTAGGGTTCATACAGGCCGATTTGGGGCTCGAAGGGTTCTACCTAGATTCGAACGGAACCACCGTTGATTAGGGTATTAGGGAGGTCAGGGGAGTAACTGGTGTGAATTTGGGGTCGGTTGGTGTAGGTTGAGGTTTGGCTCGAATCTTCAAATGAAGATTCGAGA